GGGGAAGGGAAGTGGCATAACAATTTCTGATGGTCCCTTCACGAGATGCAGATGTGTTTGATAAGCTATACTGTTGCTATAGTAGGCCTGCCTAAAATAGCTGATAGAGTATACTATATTTGCATATAATTTACATGAATGAACTATTGACATTGCCCTTTGATTTATTAATTCATTACGGTATCAATTAATTAAGTAATTCATTCATTTATTTTAATCACATTTTCAGTTAAGCTGATACAAACGGCCAACACCAAAGTGTTTATTATAAATATAATTCTAAATAACATAACATTCTCCTATCTGTGATTAAGGAACAATCAAGTGCCATTTTAGAATTTAAAAACAAAACAAAAGACTTCCATGGTCATAGTGAATTAAACAGCCTTGGATGTTGGCCATTTCTCTTTTTCAAAACACTAGACAATAATATCCTGAAGATCTCTATTGTTCATATACACACACACAGAGGTAACCTAACAAATGTAAATAATAACTGTTTCCAAGGCTGGCTGCTTCATTATCAGTCCCCTTTTCAAAGGCAGGTTATATATTATATAAAACATTATATATTATATAAAATATTATATATTATATAAAATATTATATATTATATAAAATAATATATAAATATATAACGTAAAAAGCCATGTTATTTTTTGCTAAATAATAAGAACCTATTGCCAGGCATGTCACAAATATTGTCTTAAAAAATTGTAAATCTGATTGTTGACTCTTATTCTTTATTTCTATTCAACATCCAGATGTTCTAACTCTTACAAAGTTTTTTGCAGTTTTCCAACTTAAAAAAATCCCCAAATCCTTAAAAAATTTTATTTTAAGCTTTCATGCATAATTTTATATTTCTGTGCCAAATTTTCTTTGTGTACCAGCTTTATTGACAATGTTGGTATACTTTACAAGGACTTTCCCAAAAAAAAGAAACCTATTGCTAGAAGGCCAATTGTTACCGACACCTTGAAAAATCACATACAATGCTATCAGAAAATATGCATGAGAAAACAAAGATCTAAAAAAAATTATCAGGGACGGGGGACGACCTTAACCAGTTCACCTCTCACTTCCCAAATTTTTAAGTCCAGTGGATGGAATGTCAGACCATCCCAACCCAGAAAATTGCAGCATATGTTATTGCAAGTTTTCAAGATAGTAACTCAAGTACACGCTTGATCATTTAAAATACACCATGGTTTAGTTCTGTTAGCTGTTACTAACCAAATTTACCTCTGAGCATTTTAAAGTGATGGTGTTAATTAAAAATATGGCTGCATTTAAAAACAAACCCATACATTACTAAAAATTTGATAAAATATTAGAAATGTTTTAGTTAGGTAATTACAATTTAATGTCCACAATCAGTGACTAGTTGACTAACTCCACTAAATTAGGTTAATTGATTGCTAATTGAACTTACAGCACTTATGTACTAACTATGACTATATAATGCCACATCATATACAACATATTTCAGGAAGTAAATGTGATAATTACTGTAGCATTACCATGATCATACCCTAGTAGTATCATACAATGGTATACAGCTGGTCATAGCAGCTAGTAAGTCATCATTAATCATTAATTACATCATACAAGATATAGATTGATTGGATGAGATGGTACTAACTTTGATTCTGAAAATGTAGTGCTAACTAAAGTCTAGTGGTACATCCAAGATTTTGAAAAGGGGTGTTCAATAGAAATATTTCATCCACTAACCATACCAAATAGGCAAAAGACAGCATATGATTGGCTTTGACTAACGCACATACTTACCATACCATATTGGTTGTTACTGTCTAAGCTTTTGCCATTTATTTCCATAAATTTACTTTTTCATGTTTGGAAAAGAAAAGGGGGGAGTGGGGGGAGTGGGAGGAGGTGCTCAGACAAATTTTCCAGTGATTCTATAGCTTTCCCATCATCACACTTAATAACTCTCTAATACAAAATAGTTCAACAAATCAGGGAGGTCCTACCCTGGATAAGGTAAACAGTGACATCATGTATTGTCCTTGGTTTAGTCCAGGTTTAGTCATAATTTCTGTAATAATACCATTATTTTGTTTCACTTTTCGATTGTTTGCTTTCAAGGTTGTAGGCCTACAAAGTGATTACTATGTCTACAAATACAGTACTAATGTATATTTAAGTTCACAACTTTGTGTATTACTAGGTAATCCTCTACTTAAATACTAGCAGTAAAAGGAAGAGGGTAGAAGGGAGGGGAACAGCAAAAAACTGTCTAGCTTTTGATTTGTGTCTCAGATCTAGCAAATAAGAGGGTGAGTGGCCGATATCTACGGGCTACCCAAAGTGCCTTGAAGGGATCCCACACCTTACCAGTACAGTAAATATTATCAATCATCTTGCAAGTATATTTTTATACATGATAATTATGTTTTTAAATTGTAATATAAAAAAAAGGAAGATATACACAACAAAGTTGTTTGTATCGACTGTGTTTATAGAATGCCTGTTCGAATTTAGAACTCTATTTGAATTCCAATAGGGCACCCCTATCTTGTGGTAATACTTCATATTTTGTTTCATTGCGTGCAAATAAAAGAGTCAGACCTCTATACTCTTTGGTGTACTCCTGAACTTTTTACAGAATGTATCTCTAGACTGAATGAAATGTGATAAAATCTAATTTAAGTGTGAAAAGCAGTACAATTTCACCAAGGTAAAGTATACCCATCATCTTGGGCAAAATTAATCCAATGCGAACACAGACTTAAGGCTCTTTTTCTTTTTCTTTTCTGATATTCAACTAACCTTGCATGGTCTATTTAAACATCATGGATGTATAATAAGTACCTCCATAACATCAAGTAGGACAAAATACCTTGACAAAACTCCAGCCATAGACTTTGAGTGCCTGACCATGAGTCATTTTAATATTCTTGTACTTCAGACATTTTCAACTGTACCAGTATTGTTCATTATTGATTATTGGAAATGTCTGCTCAGATTATCCTTCATACTGTGTGATGCACGCATTGATTTTGTGGCTTACTCCTTGACTGAGAACAAAGAGCCATCATTTACTGTCCAGCGTTTTCCATTTTATTCAGGGACAAATCAAATAAGAGATTATGATCATCCACTTACTATTTACTAACTGCCGCCAAGCTTAAATATGTTGTGAGTTGGAAATTTGAAATGTTGAATGAAGGGTTAGTACCTTTGTAAAACAGTGACGCATTCAAAAAAGAAAAGCTAATTTCAAGGGTCTATAATACTACAAAATGTTATGGCAATGGCACTTCTTCTACATGGCCAGAAATGGCAATCTTAGACAGTGGGGCAGCCCAGACCAGTTGGGTTCCACTTGATCCATCTACGTAAAAGCTGTGGGAACAGCTTGGTCGCAAGAACTAATTAAAGGCCTGCAACCAGGGTTTCTATGATTCAGCTCAACAACATTTTCAATAAACCCCTTCTGAGCCATCCCTAACCCTTCTGCATTAAAAAAGACAAAAAGATAAAGCAATTCATCCTTACATGCTAAAATAATATTCCGAAGGGCTTGATTACTGGGTCTTAGGCATCCTTTATGGGGCGCTGTTTGGGACACTGCTAATGTCCTAAACGGCGCCCCGTATCCTGGACTTCTGGCTCTCAAAAGGTCCACCTTTCAGAAACATGGGTTTAAAAGTCATGGTCCTATGTGCAAAATAGTGCATCTGTACATTAAAAAATACAAAACACTCTTTAGATAAGTTCAGAGGGTTGCCTTCTACTTTGCTCAATTCACCACCAAAATTATCTCACAGGAATTAAGTTTTTATGGGTCATTAAAAAAAAAAAAAAAATCCAATTGAAAATCCAATACAAAATATACTGAGCATAAAACATTATGTTGTTTTTGTTCATCTTGCAAAAGACTACAAAGCTATCATTGTTATGCATATAAAAGCTTATCTGAATCTGGGTATGTCAAAAGTGGATGGAAATTTAAAGATCTTTGTGTTTGGTGAAATAGAATAAACAAAAGAAAGCTATTAAATAATATATGACTTCTTCCTTCTTTCACATTTCTTGAAATCCAATAAAAAACCTGATTCCATTCTTAGGTTTATATTACAGTTTTTCCTTTTCACACCCATTGTAACAAAAGTACTTTTAAAACTGGAATTAAAGGCTTAGAAAGCTCACCCTCTGTGACAGATTTGCTCAATTTTATGACAAAATGTATCTTTAAAACACAATTATAATAATTAAATGCAGTCATCCATAAGACAGACCTGTAAAAAAGCTTCTTTTCACAATACACAGTGACGTAAAAGTAGCAAGAATAGCAATATCCGGCATATTGATGAACTGATTAATGGTCATTTTTAGTTGTCAGTAATAGAAACATGGTCATATCTTAACAAGTTCTTGTAATCTCGAAAGCTCTGATGAGGGCAGTATAATAGAGGCAGTAGAGCTAAAAAAGATTTATTAATCAATCAACCAAGTGTTTCTAGAGCTTCTCATGAGGGCAGTATTATAAAGGCAGTAGAACATGAGGGCAGTATAAAGAGGCAGTAGAGCTAAAAAAAGATCTATTAATCAATAAACTATTAAATCAATCAGCCTCATGAGGGCAGTATAACTGAGGCATTAGACCTAAAAAAAAGATCTATTAAGCAATCAGCCGAGTGATTTTTTGAGCATTAGAGCTCCTCATGGATTGGGAGCTAAAAGTTTGTTAAAGATCCTTGATGAAAAAGATAAACCTGGAAATAGAGTAAGCCTATGTGCAAGTCAAAAAATAAAACTTCAAATTATAAGCTGTGGCATGATTAAAGCTCTGTCCACGATATCAACTGCTGTATGCCCATTATGTAGTCATGATGTGCTATATATGGTCATGATGTGATGTCATCATGACCATTTTAAGCATCACATGTTTTTTGTCAAATCAAATTTGATAGTCTGGACAGGTCCTTAATATCATCCATAGTAAAAACAAAATGGAGTAGAATAGTACAGTACCTATTTATGGGCTGCCGAGAGTGGCAGTTGGTCTCCAGAAGAAAGTTGAATCCATGGCTGGTTGCCTGGGCCAATAAGTTTCCCCAGTGGGATTCAGTCCTGGTGGGTTTCCTGAAAAGTAACAAGATGAAATCAGAAACAAAATGAATTGCTAGCTGACTCTTCATAGCCCTATACTGTAATACTACAGTTCAATACTGTATATGAATAATTATTCTCAAACCTAGATGTTTTATCCGTTTCTAAGCCTATTATTGATGATTTCAGTTTTGAAACCACTTGAATAAGGTTGTCTTGCTAAATATAATAAATATCAACTGAAAGAATTAAATATTAAATTTGGTATACATGATTATATAAGTATAACGTAATAGATTTTTCTGTTTCATACCAGTACTTCATATTTTAGCACATCTCAGGATCACCTGAAGAAATTACAGCATGGGAAATGAAGATTATGATCTAGGGCCACAGATCTAGGGTATTCAGAGCCTGGGAATCAAGAAAATGTATTTCTGAGTCAAGAGATCAAAAGGAAATATAAAAAGACAATAGAGATTTGTTTTCTGATGTTTCAGTGTAACAGGTGTCTGTAACAATAGATCTAAAAACTCATTTTCTCTTGGGCAAGTATAATTATTAATCATCTCCATAGAAACCATTTTTGATAGACTGCAGATGGATGAGTCATAGACCATTGTTTAACCTCTGAATACGATGATTGTGTATCTATTATGTACAGTCGTGCATTTAATAATACTATATCATATACATATGTAAATTTGCACATAGGTTATCGCCAGTCAACTGAAACATATACAATTTAGTTTTTTGTATAACTTCACTCAAAAGCTGGTAACCAGACGAAATATAAAATAGATAATTTCAATCCAATAAGCAGTTTTTAAAGCTTTCAATATGCAGTCATTAAGGGATTTGGAACACAACAAACAAAGTGGGTTTTTCCAGCACCATTTAATGAATCTTTAATTTACCTCCATTTAAAAGTTTATCTTCTCAAAAGAAAGGAGACAATTGTTAGTGATTTTTTAAATATTTCTATAAATAAATGGCCTCCTCTTTTGAGGTGTGCCATCATAGATATTTGCTGCAGAATGAAGAGCTTACAGGAATACAGTTTCAAGGACACAATAGTTATGTTGAGATGGCCTTCTGTCTGAAGTAAAGTTACGACAGACATAAAGTACGCATTTGTTACCTCTGATGAGTGTTCACATGATGCTTATCTAGGGAATAATGTTGTTTTTACTTGAAAGCCAGTTCAAAGCTTAGAAGTATCTATGCAAAATTATGAAAAATTCATGCCTACAAAGATTTACACATCTCAGGAAATGTTATTATTCTAGCACTGATTTGTATTTGAAAAACTTTTAGGTCATAATAAAGGTTGTATTTACTTGCGAGCTCTGAATTGCATCTACACAGCGCTATACACTGAGCAAATATCCCTTACATTCCTTGTGTACGTGGAAGTAGCAAACTTCCTCCCGAGAATGCTCAGGAGTAAATCGTCTGTAGTTGAAGTAACTTAATACAGAGAGCGTCTTCACAGGGCTAACGACAACTACTTCAAAGTTCACTTCTAACTCATCTCAACATGCCTATTATCTGGTTAACTGTTAATCTGATATATCAGAATTTAGAAATAAACAGCCCACTAAATAAGTACTGCAGTAAGTGGAGCAATGGAATATTATTAATTCCTTCTGAAGGATTGAACTCGCCTAGCCAACTTTGCTTGGAGTACATTCCACAACATTGCGAACTTCCGTTATTAAATAAACAAAATCACATCAATTATTACGTGATGGCATCTCTAGAGAGGCTCCAAATTTAGTATCCAGAATTTGATTTAACTGATCAATGAATAGACATATAATACCCATGAGTTTCAACACAGATAACTGTACAGTAATACATAAGCTCCTGATATAAATATTACTCCAGGAAGCTGAAAATGCGTTGATTACAACTGCTACATTATGGCATACTTCCCAGAGAGCTGAGTATATGTTCCAATGACTGGGGTAATAATGTGAACCACTTTGTTGGCATTTATCGCAACATATTATTATTATCATTATCTTGGGCTTGTGGAAGGAATGACAGGTGACTCCATTTTAGCAGTTGCACAATCAAGGTACAGTACAGTAAATCTAACTTGGGAGCTCTTTAAAATTAAATCAATTGCAATTATTTTCTGTAATCCATAGTGGGTGAGAATATTAACATGGAGATCATTTAATTTACTTTATAATGCTCAGATTTTACAGCTCACATGATGACAATCTTTTTGACATCAAGCAAACCGACGATTCAGAATCGTTTCATCCGTACCTTCCCAATGGAATGCAAGGCTGTAATGCTGACAGCTATTGATCCGAAAATCTGCATATATCAATATGGATTGCACAAGAGGTTAAATCTGAACACTATTTTTGGGAGCTAATCAAGGTATTACCAAGGTCATAATAAGCTTAAAAGTAAAAGGTTTTTTTCTTTTTGCTGATTCAGCAAAAATTTTGATATGACTGAAGTAATATCAGGGAACATATTATATTTTTAATTTTTTAAACTGTTATTATTTATTTAGGATCAGAGGTTGATTTTCAATAATACTCACGCCTTTGATTGCACAATGTGGTGAGACGTGGCATGTATTAATAATGTCACTAAAAGGTCAACTGCGCATGCGAGAAAGTTAAGTTCTCCTCGCCACATAGATTCTAGGGCATAATTTGACTAAATGTAGGTTGTGCAGAAATGTAAGACGGTCACGCATGAGTGAATCTGTTCTAGTGTTGCGTCGTCATGGAAATCAAAAGCTCCCTATTAAATACCCTCACGTTTTATATATGAGCTGTGAGGAAAAATGGTTCACTTCACCCAGGAACATGGGATTGTCAGGCAAATACCTCAACCATTAAGCTACTATAGTGCTGTAGAAACCTTATTAATTCGGGACCAAAAAAAGTACCTCTCAATAGGGTTAATAGTGTTGTCCATAGTGTTAAAAGATATACTTCCCCTTGTGCCGTAGCTAAAAAAAATTGTCCCCTTTAAGTGGTGTCCCAAACAAGGGAGTGGTTTCCTGTACTTGTATATACATTACAAATTCAGTGGCAAAACCTTAATGCATAATTGTTTGTTACTATGGATATCAATCTAAGTAAAGAAAAATGAGAATGACAGAGCAGTGTATCACATACTTGACATTGTAGAACATTATACAAGGCAATAAATCACTTTTAAAACTATTATTGTTTGTTTAATTTTCCATTGGGATAGTGCTGGGTCCAGACACTTCAACTCATATCCCAAAGGAACTGCAACTAACCATGACTCCAATAACTGAACCTTGAATAGTAACCATGACTTACCACAGAATGTGTAATACACGCATCCAACTCATGGGCAAATTCAGCATACTACTATTCTTTGTGGCGTATATAGGGGGTGTGCAGGGGCACATTTTCCCCAAAAATACTTGCTCGCCTGCTCCCCACCCAGTTGTTCCATATTTTGTGAGCTGCTCCTTCAACTAATCATCGAGGCCCCCCACCCCATTTCAAGTCTCTTAAATACAGCACTATATTCGCTACTACTATAAACCATTCAAAATCCATGCTGAATTGAGGTACCTATATGGGTAAAACCAATGGGGAAGGGAAGGAGTATGGCTTCATTAGGGAGAGCTGGCCACTCCCACCCCACTGGAGAAAAGACAAATTTGTAGTTAATAATTTTTACAGATTATGAGGCTTGCATAAATAAGCCTTTAAAACAATAAATTGTCAGTTTCTGGGGAGTTTGACCCCTGGACCCGTCCAAGAGTTTCTGGATGACCTCTGGCCCTGTCCACTCACATTGAAGACCTAGCCCCCTCCTCCAGGCACCACCACTGAAATGAGGGCCTCCACTTCTATGGAAATTCTGGGTAGACTTTGTTTCATGGTATCATGCATACACTGAGAACCTAATCTGCAGAATCCGCATTTTAGAAATGGCCCGCACATTGCTATAATAGTTTCCAGTGCAGAAACAACAAACACCACAAAAGCACTCCCACCACCTACAAAATGATGAAACATTGCAAAGAAACATTTAAAAAAGGGACACAAAAAATGGACTGAAGTACAGTAACAATTGCTGAGTGAGCTGTTTTAAAAACTGGTACTGGTACATTATAATTCTTTTAAGTTGTACTTATTGCTATTATTTATTTTATATATTATTATTTAATTTATATTTGTCATTCAAGGGACGAAAAACTAAAAAGATAAGCCTAGTTAAGTCATTCTGTATTCTGAATATTCAATAAACGTGAGAATTTGTTGTTCCTTGAAATCCAGGTAAAAATTATTCTTGTTACTGTACTGCACAAGTAGTAAATTATTTGATATATTATTATTGAATTTATTTTTGTCATTTAAGGGAAGAACTAATAAAAAGATAAGCCTAGTAAAGTCATTTGTATTCTGAATGAACGTGAGGATTTGTTCTTCCTTGAAATCCAGGTAAAAAATTATTCTTGTTAATGTATAGTTATGTCATAAATAATTCAACACCATTAACAGATGACCAATGTGTAAACTAATCTATTATTCTAGGATCTCATTGAATTTAGATATTTTACAGAATATTAACAAAGCATGAACAAAAAAGGACAACCATTACTGACAGAAAGTACTAAATTCCGAACCCTTTTAGAGGATTTTTCAACTGTCGGATTTTATCATCCTCAGAAATAGTTTGATAAAATAGTGCATAGTGGTCAAATACACTGCAGAGTAATATAATTGAATTTGAAATGGTGTGGGGAGTAAGGATAATTGACAGAATGTCTTGTCAGAACGTATTAGATGGAGCAGATGACGAATCTTCTCTCTGTACCCATGAGTAATAAGTTCTACCCCTGTAGAGGCTGAGTGTCACCATCTAGATTTAATACAGTTCAAAATGTTACCTAAAACTCTGTTCAGATTATCAAATTTTCTTTAATAAAAAACTCTTGTAATGTCCATATATAGTCATGAAGTACCTATTATGGTCATGTGGTGATATCATCATTACCATATTTAGGCAAGTCACATGTTTTTGTCTGTTTTGACAGAGCTTTATATGGCAAGAAGTTCCATATCCTTTTTTTAAAGGAAATGTTTTATTCATAAGGTTGCAATAAAAAAATGTTAAATTATCAACCTACTTGTCAAATTTTATTTAAGCACTTGCTTTTTCTACATTCATACAGATGGTCATAAAACAAAAATTAACAAAAAGCAAGTTCTTTATTTCTTTTTTCAAATTCCTTTCTTTCCTTTATTCAAATTCCTTTATTTCTTTTCTGAATAAAGTGATTTTTGAGATTAGGATGATGGCTCCTTTCTATTAATTAAATATATAAAATATTGCATCAAATACCAATGATAATCAACTTTGTGGAAGCATAGAGATTGCAATTGTAAAAAAAA